AGGATCGTGTAGGTGTGGGGTTTGCCCGTGCTTCTCAGCTGCAGGTTCAGGGCACAGGTGCCACAGGAGGCTTGGAGAGCATCGTGGGACAGGGGTGCTCACTCTGCTGGTAGCTTTCAGATTCCCTGAGCTGCAGAAGTTTTAGTAAATGTGTGCATTTGTGAACCTGTCTGCTTTCTTGGCACATGCCAATGTGTGGAGCCTGTTAAGTTAAATGTTTGCTCTACAATTAGCTAACTGTCCTGCACTGCTCCAGAAGTAGAACATCCCTAGTAACAGTCCCTCATCACTCAGGTTAACCACAAACATCTGCCTGTACGTTGGTTGGTGAGCTTACCCTGAGAAGTCTGTAGTTAAAGCCTCCTGTTGTTACCACACCTCAGCTCCAGCTTCTAAGGGCTGTTGGCAGCTGCAGTGTGTGCCACCCATGCCACACGTGAGCACTACCCTGTCATTTCAACTGACCTTTGTCCAGCACCCAAGTGAAGCCGCTGGGGCTGATGGTGCTGGGCAGCTGCTGAAAGGCTGGTGGGGTAGTGGAGAAGGGCAACTCTTCTGCTGCTGCTCTCACAGCTCCTGTGCAGGAAAAATACCCAGGCAGGCCTGTGAGTCCCAATCTGCTCATCTGTGTTTTGGTTCTTCTGTTATTCCTTTTCAAGAACAAAATATAAGACACTGCTTCTTGAACTCCTCCAGTAATTAGGGCATTTGTGGGTAGAAAAGCATTTCCTGCCTGGAGAATTGGGATACAGCATATTGAAGGGGAAATCTGTTCTTCTCCTTCCATTCTTAGCCTGTAGAGAGAATTTACTTCCTGCTTTCTGAAGCAAGAGACTAACTCTCAGCTCTAAGGGCAAGAAAGTGCTCTTGCTTGCTGCACTGGCCTGGGATGGAGAAGAGGAAGGTGCAATCCCTCAAGAGCACCATGAGAGTGGTGAGACCCTGGCATGGGTTGCCCAGGGAGGTGGTTGAGGCCCCATCCCTGGGGGTCTTTAAGGCCAGGCTGGAGGAGGCTCTGGGCAGCCTGATCTAGTGGGAGGTGTCCCTGCTCATGGCAGAGGGGTTGGAACTGGGGGATCCTTGTGGTCCCTTCCAGCCCTGACAGATTCTGATCTGTTTTAGCAGCGGACTTTAGAGCCCTAATGGCTCAATGGTTGGACTTGAAGATCTTGGGGGTCCCTTCCAACCTAAAGGATTCTAGGATTCTATAAGAGCTGGAGTGAGCGTGAACGAGGCGTGCTCTCCCTGTGGCACTCCAAGCTCTTTGGAGGGCACTGTTATGGGACTGCAGGCTCTGAGAAACCTAAAGGATTCTCTGATTCTATAAGAGCTGGAGTGAGTGTGAACGAGGCGTGCTGTCCCTGTGCCACTCCAGGCTCTTTGGAGGGCACTGCTATGGGACTGCAGGCTCTGAGGGCCACCTTGGGCTGGCCTGGGTGGCTTTAGGAGTAGTTCAGGAGTGTGAAGACGCCCGTACCGAGGTGGCACGACCTGTCTCCACAGCCCAGGAGGCCCGGGAGTACTGGGATGGGGAGAAGCCTGTGATCGTGGCCCTGGCTGGCAGCACGGTGGCGCTGCCCTGCGTGAACAGAAACCACATCTGGACGGAGTGGCACAGCGAGGAGGAGCAGCAGGTGGTGCACTGGGACAGGCAGCCCCCGGGGGTGCCCCACGACAGGGCCGACCGCCTCATCGACCTGTACGCCTCCGGGGAGCGCCGCTCCTACGGGCCCCTCTTCATCAGGCAGAAGATGAACATCACCGACACGGCCTTTGCCCTGGGAGACTTCTCCCTGAGCATCTCCCAGCTGGAGAGTGCAGATGAAGGCACCTACTCCTGCCACCTGCACCACCACTACTGTGGGCTGCACGAGCGCAGGATCTACCGAGTGTTCGTGACGGAGCCGGTGAGGGAGAAGAAGCTGGTGAACCTCACCACCCACAACATCGCCCCCGCCGTGGGTAAGTGGCCTCTGGAAGTGGTTCTCCTGCTGGGAGGAGGGAGAAGGATCCACAGTGGTGCCTTGGAGCTCTAAAGAGCTCGGCGAGCCATGGGCCAGGAACATAACGTGTCCTTCCCCATCACCAGCACAGGGGGCCCTTGCTCCAAGTGCCAAGGTGGCCTTGCCTTCCCTGTCCCTGTCTGCAGGGATCCTTTAGTGCCCGCAGCAGGGAGTGTGGTCAAGGCCACCCTGTGCCCTGCACCTGACCACAGACACCACTGAAGTGGAGGTGCCTCGTGGAGCAATACTGAGGTTTCCTCTGTGAAGGTTTCTCACATTTGAGCCAGGGGCTATTCCTGCCCCTCAGGTCAGAGGAGTAGGTGAGGTCTTGCCTCCCTCACTACTAGTGTGTGGCTCTAGTGGATGGGTTGGATTGTTCTGGGTGTTTTCCATGGCACTGGTACACCTGGAGCTGCATGACTGGTGGTACTGGGGGAGTGTCCCACCCCTCAGGGCTGATGACCCTGCCTGCCCTGCTGGAGTGACCTCGTGTCCAGCATCTGTCTGCTTTGCTCCAGGGTGACTGTGCAGCCTGCTCTGCTCTGCCATGCTGCCGTGTCCTAAGGCAAGGCAGCTGTTTTTCTGACAGCCTCTCTTTCCTGGTTGCTCTCAGGGAACAGGAGGTGTTGTGGGTCAGTTTTGCTCTGCCTTTGCTGTTACATCACACCACTGTTTCCACCAGTGTAGGTCATAAGTGTTTTCTCCTCTTTGCACAGGGGTTTAGGCTGTGCAAGATGCCAGACTGTGCAGAATCAAGCCCTAGGAATTTTCCTCCACCCTTCAGCTATTCTTTTTTTTTGTCTTAAACCAATTTTCACATTTTCCACTGCAGTGAGCTATCATCTGACAGCCTGTCCAAACTCACAACCATCAGGCTTGGTTCAGGCAGAGAAAGAAGATAAAAATCCCAAGTTTGATATATTTCTTTAAGTCTTTTGAGTATAAGTTCCTTATTAACATTTTTAAATATTCATTGTGGTTTAATATTTATTGGCTGCTTCTACAGAATTTTGACACGCTTCATACATTTTTAAAGAGGTCTATTCTTCTCTAGCAATTGGCTTTTTCAAGTCACAGAAACCTAAACCACCTCCCTGAGTCTAAACCTGGTGTCCAGAAGACCCAGGCAGTGCTAAAGAGAGGTGGCTGTTGGGGCTGAGGGGACCTGGGGGCCAGGACACACAAATCTCACTCTCTCTGCTGGTGGCCCTTGCGCTGCCCTTGAGCCCTGTCCAGATCCCACTGTGCAGGTGGAAACTAGATCTTGTTCTTTCAGACTTGCCTACTCTGGAATTTATTCCTCTCCTTCCTGGGTGATGCTTCTGATGGTTGCTGAAGAGTTACCTTCCTGCTCAGAAATTAGAACCTGCAAGTAATTAAACCTGTCAGGGCTGCCTTAGTTTGGCAGCAGTGCCCTCAGTGCTGGAGGAATTTGCCTTCCTGAGAAAAGCCATTGCCACTATCCCAAAGAACAGGTTTTGAAGAGCTTTGTCCCCTGTGGGCAGGGAATGCTCGGCTGGGCTGGGAGCACCACACACAAAAATGTGCTGAGCTGAGGGGAATGTGACAGAATCTGAGACATCCGGAGCCTTTTTCCAACCCACTGCTGCTGAGGAGCCTGCTGGGACGTGCCCTACTTGTGTTGTACAGCAGGAAGGGCTGAGATACTGCCCTGCTCTGGGAGAACTGCAGAGAACTCTCCTGGTGTATGACATAGAGCCAAAGTGAAACATCAGGAGATAAGAAAAGCAAAGCAGTGAGTTTTCTGAGCAAGCAGCTATAGTTTCTGGCATAGCCAGAGAGCCAGAGCCATTTCCAGACAGGAAACTTCATCCTGTTTTGAGTATAAGCACGAGCTCAGTTCTGCCCTCAGTCTCAGCAGTGTAAACGTGGAGTTATCTACTCATTTGGTGAGTTTTTACTCTGCATGTGCTTTGGAGCAAGTGATTGTAGAACAGCAGCTGTTGTCTCATCCTTGTTGCTAAATTATTCTCAGTCCTTTGCAAACCTAGAGAAGCAAATAGGTCACATAGCCAGCATTTGTGGAGGAGGATACTAGTTTTTCCCAACAGAAGAATCTGACCCTTGATGGTAATGTAAAAACACCTCAGTTCTAACTTTTTAAAATTGAATTTTCCAATAGTTAAACCAGGTCATGGGAGTGACTTGGAGGCAGGTGATGCCATGATGAGAAGTACTGCAAGATCAGACCTTGGCTCCAGAATAAACCTCCAGCACCTCAGCTTAAATTCTGCCCTGACACTAGGATGAGGATCTGTGTTACCTTGGTGAGACTCTTTGAGGTGCTGGCATTCACTGACTGAGTCAACTGTTACTCTGTGCCTCAGTTTCCCAGTTATAAGATGGGATATGTTCCACTGCCTTCCTGGTGATGCTCTTTGAAGCTCCCCAGTGCTGCTTTGTCAAAACACTAGTATGAGAAGTGATTTCAGTATTACTTGAGCAATCCAAGGAGGCCCCAAGTTACTGAATCTCCATTTCCACTGTTTGTTATTACAGTGACCTCTCCAGTGTTGACTCAAGTGTAACTAAAAAGTTAAAACTAAAGTTTTAACTCAGCTCCTACCCTTTCTTGCAGTATTGTGGGAAAGCAAAGAGCCAGGAATAGAATGCATTTGTCTTTGCTGACTTTGGCTCCACAGCTGCTCCAGTGGCACCATCTCATTGTGGCAGCTGCTGAAGAAGAGTTTCATGATCCAGAGATTTGTTAAAGCAGAACTGTCCCATAGACTTGTTTTCAGCTTTACAAGTGGGTTTTTTGGTTTGGACTTTTTTTAGCTTGACAGTGGTGAAAAACACATGGTAGTTTTCAGCACTAGAGCCAGGAAGCACATGGCATCTGGCAGTGCCAGTGGCAAGGGGAGCAGTGCTGCAGTGAGGGGCTGGGCTACCAGAAGAGAGCATGTGCTGAAACCTCTCCTTTTTCTAGGACTGCTGTTAGCATTAGCAACAGGTGATCTCTAGTTTCGGGGTGTTTATTGCAATCCACTGACATCTTGTTTAATTTTACTGGTGCTGGATTGGTGTTTTTAAATGCTGGAAATAAACTAGCTGACAAACTGGAGCAGGTCACTGCCAGCAGTTTCAAAAACATCAACGTGCTCGCATTAGAGCACAGCTGTTAAGTGGGACTGTGGATTTTGGGCTATTTCTCCTCTTTTCTCTCATTCCCTCTGACTAATTTACAGGGTTAAACTCCCAAGAGACTGGCAGGGCAGAACTTGGTGCTGGTTCTTGCCTGGTGCTCTGTGAATGTTCCCTGTCAGGAGAAGGTGTGTGTTTCAGCTCTGTTTTGAAGAGAAAAGCTTCTCCCAGCACAGTGTCTCATGGGTTTGCAGTCCGTGCCTGGGCTGGATTTGTCCAGGAGTCTCTCCCTCTTTCTATGTGTAAAACATTGACCTATTTATTTGAGATCTACAAAAATGTTCCACGTAAAAGTTTTGAGTTACCTTTCCCTGTGCCGTGGAACTGAAATGCTGCTGCACCCACACATGGAATGGAATCTTGGCTTTTCTTTGTGGGTTTTCCTTTTATTTATTTTATCGACTTTTATTTTATTTAAAAGGAAACTCATTCTTTGGCATTGAAAATTCTTCCCACTTTGTAAATTATAACCCTTGGCAGGGAGGGGCTGCTTCATACTTCAGCTGTCTGGAGCCGAGGCAGCGTGGTGTGTGTGTTGTAGGGACCCAGAGGAGGGTTGTGTTTCCCTGCAGAGAGGCCTGGGGCTGTCTGCTGGGGCTTCCTCTGCAATCAACGGGGCCACCCCAATATCCAGGCAGCAGGAAGGGGGCGTGCAGCAGTCCCTGGTCATGCCTGGTGCTCCTGGGAGGTCTCAGGGGCTCGTGAGGGGCACAGGGCTGTGCCAGCTGACCCAGGCTCAGCGTGTGGTGAAGCAGGGCAGCTGTTCCCCCTTCACCCCCTGCAGCTCAGAAGAGTTTCTCACCAAACGTGCTCTTTGCATCCACGTGTGAACGTGCTTGGCTTGGGGTGCCCGTTAACAATTCACAAGCCTTGTTCCTTCTCCTCTGCCATCAGATCCCAACGTTGTCAGGGGCCACAACGTCATAAACGTGATCATCCCCGAGAGCCGGGTGCACTTCTTCCAGCAGCTGGGCTATGTCCTGGCAACTCTGCTGCTCTTCCTCGTCCTCCTCATCATCGTCGTCCTCGTCACCCGCAAGCGCCGGCAGAGAGGTGAGTGCTGGAGGGGAGGAGCCCCATGGTGCTTGCAGGGGTGTCTGCTGCCAGCAGAGCTGACCCTGCAGGTGCCTGGCAGCAGTCCTGCTCTTCTGGGAGACCAGCAGCCTGGGCAGGGGGGAGGATTTGCAGGTGTTGGTGTCCAGAGAGAGTCACTCATGGTAAAATATCCAGGCCTGAGTTGCCCTCTTGTAAGGGAGAAGAAAATGAGAACTCTGCTCTTCTGGGAGACCAGCAGCCTGGGCAGGGGGGAGGATTTGCAGGTGTTGGTGTCCAGAGAGAGTCACTCATGGTAAAATATCCAGGCCTTGGTTTGCTGAGTTGCCCTGTTGTGAGGGAGAAGAAGATGAGAACTGCTGGATGGTTGCTGTTGACAAGGGGAATTTCCACAGATGGTTGCTGTTGACAAGGGGAATTTCTTTAGGGCAGAAGGTCCACGTGCATCTCTTAGGAACTAAGATGGGGATCAGCACCAGCACAGAATGGGGCTCTCTCCACTGATGTGAGCAGAGTTTCTTTACAGTCACAGAGGGGACAGACTCCTGGCCCAGGCCTTTGAATGGCAAAGAGGAGCCTGAAATCATCACTCCTTGCAGGGTGGCCTTAGATACCTGGCATGTGAGAGGCTGATGGACACCAGCTTCTGCAGCATGGGATGGACACAGGCCTAAGCAGGGAGCTGGGGATGGGCAAGCACAGCACCAGCACATGAGAGATGACAGGGGTCATGTTTTTGTAATAAATGGGAGGTGGAAAGCTATGCAATATGGCAATGGCTGTGGGTTCTCATGGCTGGTCATCCACGGATCTGGGAAGACCACTGGAAAGCTGGTGAGTAGAGGAGAGGGAAGCTCCCTGTGGCAGTGGACCACATGTGAATTCTTCTGTATCAGAGGAGTTGTGAAAGCAACCATTGTGAGCATCACCAATAAGCACTAGGTGTTAGTGCTGGCACTGTCACCTGGGAGGTCTTGGCTGGACTGGATACAACTGCTCATTCTCTTTCTTCTCCCTGTTTAGGTTACGAATACAATGTGAAGAAATATGGAGAGTAAGTATATCTGCAGGGCCTCTTATTTAGGATTAGAATGTATAAAGGTGAACTTCTGGGACCCAACTCTCAGCAACTTCCATGTTGTCAAAGTACAGAAGGAGAGAAGGGTTTGAAGGGTTGATTTGGCCATTACATTTCCTCTGTTTTTCTTCCTGCTTTGGGAACTGATTCACAGATTGTGTTTCTGTGAGATGTTGTTAGGAGTTAGTGGTGAAGGGGTAATGAATGGACAGATCTGCTGTAGAACCCACTGTGAGATGGGCCAAGATTGTGTAGCTGGGTTCCTTTGTGTTTTATTATTTATTATTCAAGTGGAAGAGATGGGGAAGTTTCAGTACAGATTGGCTCCTCATTGTTCTGAGCCCTGGACAAACACAGAGGGGAAGAAAAGAGCCAGCTAGCCAGGCATCTGAAGGTGTTAATAGAAAAAGGAAGAGAAAAAAATATCTGTTTGATATCTCAGGGGCAAAGACAGGAGAAATACCCACGTACAACAGCTGCCAATGCTGTTATCTACCTGCTATGTGTTCTCCAGGGAAGCCTTGTAGAAACTGGAAAGGGATTGCTGTGAAAATCACCAGCACTTGACAGAGAATGAACTCTTCTATGGGTTTGTTTTTTAAACTTTTCTCCAGAGGTATAGCAAATAAACAGAGTAAATTAGATTCTCCAAAATGGTGCTAGAAAAGCTGTTGTGAAAATGTGGCAGGAGCCAGTTATTAGAGGCTGTGACAATGCTGTTCCCCTCTGTTGTTTCTTTTTCAGGAAGGATGTAAATCTTAAAGAATTTACGGTCGACACAACAGATCTGACTCAACAGAAAAGTGAAGACATCAGGCTGGGTATGCATCAACTACTCTCCAAACCAGGTCAAGCCCTGTTGTGATGGAGGATTTTCTAATGGCATTTAGATGCCCTTTTTGAAGTGATTTAACCCCCTGATTTTCAGCAGTGTCTTTAAGAATCTCAGCCCACAAGTCAGTGCAAACAGGGGGCCTGCAGCTGGAGAGGACTGTCCTGGCTTTGGAGCTGAGCTAGAGGCTGGTCAGTGAGGAGGGACAGCTGCTTTTGTTTCACCTGCAGCCTTGGGGGTTCTCTGGCATGCACCTGGAAGCCAAATTCAAGTGAGAGCAAAACAATGAGATCAAGACAGCACTTAGCAAAGAGGAGGTGCAACAAAACACCAAATACAAGAAAACAGATTTATAGTCTACTAAAATGTTGTGGGTATTACTGCTGCATTTCAGCTGGGTCTGCCCCTTTTTAACTGCACAGCCTTGGGAGTTTGAGAGAGAATTTAGTACTGAAATCACTGGTAGTATAGTACTTATTCCTCAGTTAAAACATATGTTATTGCACTGTGTTTATATGAGTAGGACCTATTTCTAGGGAATAATTTATTAAAAAAAAAATGTATGCACATTTTTCCTGCTCATTAATTATCTGCAGGTTTTTTTATTAATTTTTTAATCCTGTGAAAATGTGTGATGAGCTCTCAGGATCATATCTGTGTCATTTTACAGCCCTTGGTGGAGCAAGGCAGCACAATCTTCCCTTGAAACTTGCCATAGTATTCAAGTGAGAGCAAAAGTGCATTGCTGGTGCAGGTTAGCTGCTTGCTTTCTAGCCTTCTCTCACAGTAAATCAGCAGAGATCACTGCTTTCTGCCAATTTTCTTCCCAAAACTCAGTAAGAGGTTGTCTATGTTTTCAAGAAAATTGGAAGTAGCAGTTCAGTTTAAGCCTTTTAAGCCAAGAAATGGCAGCTATTAACAGAAAACCTTTAGTCAAGTGCTCTGAAAGGATTTGGGGCTTCCAGAGAAGAAGAGGGCACCTCAAATTTAAGCAGTTTGTGTAAGGAGGAGGATCAACAAGGCAGTTCTCTAGAATCCCCTGTCCAAGAAACTAAAAGTATTTGTCAGCCCACTGGAACTCATGGTAACATGAAAGGTACTGGAAGGAAGGGAAGGGAGCTCATCTCCCTGGGGATCTGTGAAAGGATTTTTGCTGGGATATGTAGGACTGGCTCAGGGAACTTATTCCTGAAGAATAATGCTGCTCCTTACTAGAGCTTGAAGGTGCAGCCTTGACTGGTTAGTGTCAGTGATTGATCAGGAGTGTCTTCTTGCTTGGAGTGGATTGTGTAAGGAAAAATCACCTGCCATGATGCCCAAATTCATACCTGCTGCAACCTGCCATGTGTCAGTGAACATGTTGATAAACCAGGAAACAAATCAGTCTGTCCCTCCCTTTTTTTCCTCCTTGCACCCCCAGTAAAGGTACAACCTTTAAAAGAACAAACTGACAAACTTTAGGTCCCAAGCTAGAGAATTGCTGCAAGGCCCCCAGTAAACAAAGAGGGTGGGTACAAAAGATGAAGTAAGGACCAAAGGAATTGTGGGTTGCAAAGCAGGATGGCAGGGAGTACAAATTCTTCTCTGTGTGTCTCAGGAGAGCTCCCCTGTGAGCAGACTCTGTGAATAACTGCACCAGTCCCCTTCAGGTGGGCTTCACAGAGGTAGTCCAGAGCTTTTTGTTGCATGCTGGAAGAATCTGTGGTAGCTGTGAGGAGCAGGAGGCTGAGGTATGCATAGCTGATCAGTGCCAGGGGCAAAAGTTGT